GGAGCCAGAAACAAAGAACAGAGTCCCTCATCTGCTGTTAACAAACACACAGGGAAGCAGGAAACCTGGATTTCCTCCAAGCCGCATCCCAGCCCCATGCAGCAGTGAGCCCATGGCTCAGCGGCCATGCCAGGCTAGAGCTCAAGGTTGTCCCAGCAAGGCTGAGCAGAGGTCGGAGCTGGGGGATGTTCAATTAAATCTGCTTAAAAAAGAAATCTAACTTCCCATATGCCTCTCTGGAGAAAATACAGCCCCAAAGCTGCGTGCAGATGGGGTGCCAGGGTGGGGGCTGAGCACATCACCACAAAGGTGACTCCAGCTCAGCCGTTCCTGCTGTGTCTGATCCACAGGGATTGAGGTTGCCTTTTGGTGTTTCCTCATGGTAAGCTGGACATTTGGCTCTGCAGCAGGAGCTCAGAGGGCAGACAGCCCTGCAACATAGTGTCCTCCAGACTATGCATGGTCCCCAGTGCTCCCTCTGACCCCAGCACACTGAGGAGCCAGCAATGCTGGAAGCAGCTCTGTGATGCCTTGGGTGTGCATCTCCATGGGGACACCAGACCTGGACAGTGGCACTGGGGACCATGGGAGGGCAAGGAGCCATCCCACTTCCGCTGGTGGCCCTGGCACAGGTTCAGCCCATCCTGTTGGAGATACTCAAGTGCATCCCCACAGACAAGGAGCTGTGGCCCAACCAGCAGCTTTGCCAGGAGGAATTTCCCTAGTCAAAGGAACAGAGGATTCAACCATCACGTGGCGAAGGTGTTGGGCAGGAGGTTGGCCCTCGTGTCTCTGTGCCATGTGTGCCATCTCACTCACAGAGCTGCCCAGAATAGTGTCACCATCTGGTTCCAGCTGCCCAGCCCCTTTTGCGATTACAAAGAGTAAATTCCAACATCACCCCAACCTAACTCAGCCTTCCTTTATCCCCTTCCCTTTTCTTTTCAATAATTCAGGTTTGTCTCTTAGAAAGAGAGAGGGAGATAATGTCTGTAGAGCATTTAATCTTCTGCCCAAAGAATAGCAGAGAGCAAATTAGGATCTACTCCAATTAATTTGCCTTGATGGGCAAAATCTGGAGAGCGGCCATATCTGGGAATTAAGAACAAAAGCAGAGAGTGAAAAGTAGGTCGCTGGAGTTTCATAACCAGAGCAATGGGTTTTCCCAGCACGCCTGGTGCTCAAGAGGCTCCTGGTGCTGGGGGCCACCGGTCCCTCTCCCCACCATCCAGCAACCGTGGGTTTCAGCCTGGGCAGTTGATTTACGATGCTGGCCAGCATGTGGGGAGCCAGGAATGAGGACCTTGACCCTTCTCATGGCAGGACACGGCCGCAGAATTGGCCCAAACCCTTGCCACAAACCCTGAACCCAGTGGGAGGACAGACACCAGCTGCTTGTCCCAGTTTTGGAGCACCCAAACTGCTTTCCTGGCAGTGGGCATGCCTATCGTTGCTGCCACGCTCAGCCTTGCGGGCACCCTCTTGAAGGAGGATTAGGGGTAACACAGAGATGGTGAGTTTAGGGCAGTGCTTTGCCTTGAATGCTTGTACCATGTGGGTTACCAAGCAATGGTGACCGACAGACCCATCCTAGCCCAGCACCCCAAATCCCAGCCCTGGTTCCCTGGAGCCATCAGTGTCTGCAGGCTGTGCAGTGACATATTCTGCTGTCATATGGGGCAACACCTTCCAGCTGGCTGCAGGACGTGAATGGTAGCATAACCAAGAGTTCAGGCCATGTGTGGTGACATGCACTGATGTGCAGAACACTAGTGACATAGCCAGGGGTGTAGGACACTTGTGGTGACATATGCCAGCAACCCTGACAAGGACTTGGGGTGTTGGTTGATAAGAAGCTCCCCATGAACCAACTTCAATGTGCATTTGAGCCCAGAACCCCTCCATGTGCTGGGCTGCATCCCCAGAGTGTGAGCAGCAGGTTGAGAGAGGGGATTCTCTCCCTCTGCTCCTCTTTGGGGAGACCCTCCCTGCAGTCCTGTGTCCAGCTCTGGGGCAACAACACAAGAGGGATGTGGAGCTGTTGGAGCGAGTCCAGAGGAGGTCACGGAGATGCTGTGAGGCCTGGAGCAGCTCTGCTTGGAGGCAGGCTGAGAGAGCTGGGCTGGAGCAGCCTGGAGAAGAGAAGGCATCAGGAGACATTAGAGCAGCTCCATTGCCTAAAGGGGCTACAAGAAAGCTGGAGAGGAGCTTTGGACAAGGGCCTGTAGGGACAGGACAAGGGGGAATGGATTTAACCTGACAGAAGGGAGATTGAGGTGAGATCTTGGGAAGAAGTTCTTCCCTGTGAGGGTGCTGACGCCCTGGCACAGGTTGCCCAGAGAAGCTGTGGCTGCCCCATCCCTGGCAGTGTTCAAGGCCAGCTTGGACAGGGCTTGGAGCAACCTGCTCTAGTGGAAGGTGTCCCTGCCCATGGCAGGGGGTTGGAACTGGTTGAGCTTTAAGGTCCTTTCCCATCTAAATCCGTGTGTGATCACATGATTCAACATGCAACCCATCTTTCTGCTTGCAGGACCAAACACCAAACATTTGGTAGGTGTCTGTGGGTCTTCCCAGGCACCCACAAGCTCCCAGCTGGATCCAAGTGGTGCAGTTTGGTGCACGCTGGTGTCACCATCACATCAGTGTCACTCCAGCTCCCTGGCCACCTCCTGCCACTCCACAGCAGGACAGTAAGGAGCACGAGAACAATGGGGAGCAGTAAGCCCCCACTCTCAGCCCTGTGGAGCTGCCAGCGGGGTGCTGGGTGCTGTGCAGTGTGTGGCCATTGCCCATCTGGGTTTATCCTCTTTAGCCACCATGCAGGGATCCAGCACTAATTCACCCTTAAACACAGGATTGTCAGGAACTGGAAAGGAAAGACTTGGCGGATTATCCATCTCCCCGGTGCCAGCATTAAACACGGGGAGCGGCAGCTGCTGGATGAGGGTAGCTGAGATGGGGGGTTTCCCTGTCCCATGGGGCACCAGGCCGCAGGCTCAGTGACATCCGTTCCACAGCAAAGGCTGCCAGCAGCATAGTCCCACCCCTCCCCCCAGCCAGCTCCAGGCTGATTAATGAAATAAGTAACATGAAAAAAATACAGGGCCTCCCCTTAAATCTGAGGGAGCAACAGCAACCACTCAGCCCCTCGGGGTGCACCATAACACAACAATCCAGGCAGCATTTCCTGGACCCAGAGTCTGTCAGGGAACCAGGGTGACATCCCAGAGCCTGGGGATCACAGAGGTAAGCGACCTGACCTCGCAGGAAGAGGTTTTGCAATGAAACAAGCAGTAATTTTCCCTGGCTCGAGGAAGACAGCGATAATTGAGCTTCTCACTCACACACTGACAGCTTCTAGACATGAGTCAGTGTGCAAAGGCTTTCTGGGATCAACACCCCAACTGTGCCCCATGACTGGGCACAGAGATGTTTTTGAACAGCCTTGGTGTTACCCTGGGAATCAAAGAAACTGCAGCAACTCATTACTCACAGCACGTCGCTGCCTTCCTCATTGCTCCTGCTCGCAGCTGAGCCTCGTGTGGGCCATGGCACAGTGGCACTCATGTTGGATGGAGGATTTTGGCAGTCAGGGTGCTGCTGCCTCTGCCAAGTGGGATGGTTTTACCACGTGCTGGCCAGAACTGCCACCACCACTGTTGATCGGTGCCCTGGATGGGGTGGCCCATAGGCAATTTTAATGTCTCTTTAGGTAGCAGGCAGGGGGAGGTGGCTGTACCTGGGAGCAGGGACATCACCTCACCAATCCCAGTCAAGGGGAACTGGTTTGTCATGATGGGGTTTAGTATGCTAGGGAAAAAAAAATCTGAAATATCCCAGCACTAGGGATGGGAATAACAGTGACTGCCATTGAGAGACACAAGCTAAACTGCAGCACATTCTCTTGGTTTAACTTCAGCAAGTCCTTATAGCAGCTTTCAGTATCTGAAGGGGCCCACAAGGATGCTGGAGAGGAGCTTTGGACACGGACCTGTAGGGACAGGACAAGGGGGAATGGCTTTAACCTGATAGAGGAGAGATTGAGATGAGATCTTAGGAAGTTCTTCCCTGTGAGGGTGCTGACGCCCTGGCACAGGTTGCTCAGAGAAGCTGTGGCTGCCCCATCCCTGGCAGTGTTCAAGGCCAGCTTGGACAGGGCTTGGAGCAACCTGCTCTAATGGAAGGTGTCCCTGCCCATGGCAGGGCGTTGGAACTGGATGAGCTTTAAGGTCCCTTCTAACCAGTCCCTTCCAACCTTCCAAACCAGTCTGGGATTCTGGGATTCTATGATTCTAAGTCCCACTTGGACCTGGATATGATCTTCAGTTCCCTGTTTTTTTTCACCTGTATTATCTTGGCTAAAACTAAACCCCTTTCTTCCCTGCAAACCCCAGTTTCCTTCATGACCATTAATAGGACTGAATATAGAAAGACCAAAATAAAAAGGATGGAAAAGAGGATTTGTTTCAGAAAATTGCCCATCAGAGGACAGGCTAGTGGCTGCTGGAAGGAAAAAAGAGATACACTCTGTGTTTTCCCTTTAAAATAAAGAAAACATTTGACCCAGCTCTAAGGAAATATCCTTTATGCCTGCCCCTGAAAAGCAGTTCTCAGGGAACACGGGGTGGTGGGAATCCCTGGTACGCTCTCTCCAAGGCTATCGCAGTCC